ATTTTAGGATGACGTGATGATAAAAAAAAGCGTCCTTCTTAGAACATCTTTAAAACCTGACTTTGGTTGCCAATCCGCCATCCAAGCGACGCAACTACTGGCAAAACCCCCTTAGGAGGAGGTTTATGCTCAACAGTGGACAGTTAAAGACTGATATGATGATTGTTATGTACACCTATTAAGAGGGATAAAAAAACTAATAAAATAAAAAGATTTTTCTTTGGATTACCTGTTTCTGTTACAGCCTATATGGTTATTCCATAGAATTTAACAGAAATAGGTAATCCGTAAATCAACAGTAGTATATATGAAAAATACAAAAATTACTCATAAAAGTTTGAAGGTCAAAAAAGGAGACATGTTCAAAACAGTTTCATTGTGACTGTGATCTATCCCTCTGTTCAAACAAAAAATTTCAGTAATAAATGAAAAACAATTGTTTTCAACAAAATTATATACTAAGATCATTGATGTAGCGTGCGCCACTCACACGCGATTAGTAGTAATATTGCCCTACATTACCTTCCAGCAATCGGGTAAAATAAAATTTACATCAAACAATTTATACAGCACTAAATTAATATTAAAATAAAATGTACTTTTAGTAAATCCACTTATAGAAGCTTTGTTTTCACCTTGTCAAGTTAATTCCAATTCCTTTGAAGGTACGCCGGAGGTTGAAATAGAATCAAGTTTAAAATAAAGGAGATAAATCGAATCGCGGTATACAAGAGGTGCGATTATTCGATTAATCGACTAACTAGTCGAGATGCGAGCTAGCTCAACAATTAGGTCGTGAATGTTCAAGTGTACGGTCTCCCCGGCCCTAAGTGGCCAGCTGAGGGTTAATAGACGGAACCACTTTATACAGCTTAATACTTGTGAAAAGAAATGGGTTATTGAGTATCGTACAAACCCTTACTAATGTTATATTAAAATGTTGAAGTGAGTCCGTCTGCAACGTTTAAATGGACTAAAATGTCGAATGAACATTTAGATACGAGTATTCGTTATAATATGCGGCTTTTAGGGAGACTGTGTACAAAAGTCGATTGCTTAGGTACCTCTGTCCCATTCGTGTTTCTACCGTGAAGCAGTTGTGTTTGCATGGCTGTGTTTCGGTTTGAAGGGTGGGATATAGCGTGAATTTGCAGGGTACAGAGGAATAACATCTGAGTCCTCAGGAATGGCAACGCATGGGGGGTATCATGGACGAAACAGTATACACTGTTATGTCCATGGTACTGCTCATGTCTATAGGTGACGGTTACCACTTTCCATCAGGTGGGCCGTCAGCTTGTTTGCCATTCTAGTTCATTTTGAAACTTCGGATTACTCGCTTATTACTTAAGAATTAGTTTACTCGTGGCTTTGTCCACGTGACCTATCTCCGTCACGTTTTCTGACCAGGATAAAAATAATCTATATATTTCTCGATCACACATAGTATGTTTATACCAAATTTCATAATGATTGCTTAAGCCTTTAAAGCACCTAGAGGCAACAAACATACAAACTCACTTCCACATCTATAATATTAGATAAGAAAGTAAGGATTAGTAAGGATTGTAGAAATTTGACGAATCCAATATAGATTGTCCGGGTTCTGGCTATTGTATCCCGATAATGTGGAACCGTGATCTCTGTACAAATAAGGATTGGATATAAGGTACCGAGAGACAAAGAGTACAAACGTAGTCGAAATTCCGTCCCCATTCTCCCACGTTCGATATTTAAACAGAGTTTATTGCTTTAACTATGACCGAGCGTCATTAACAACGTCTCAACGTCAAGTAAGATAAATTATAGTGACGGTGCACTAAAAGGAAATAGTCGGCGCTGGACATCTACGATGATAAAATACAATAAAAAAGAAAAAAATAGAGTATATAAAATAAATTTCAGAAAATAGTCGTATGTTATTGATGAATTTGACCTTTGCCAGGACTTGAATTTGTATCTAATGACATACCCTAATGAGAATTTTTAAAAAATTGCACAAAAAAATAAACTTGATATAGAATAATACATATGAAAGCATTATTAGTTGAAATGTACTTTATATTTTTAAATAATAATTAATAATTTAATCTATTATTATTTTATATATTTTAAATGGAAAATTAGTGTTTTTTACAATTTTATTTTAATGACTAAAATTAGAATCAACAATACATAATTTAATAATGAAATATAAAGCTTTCGTTAAAAATTATTCAGGGTTCGTCACTTATTACAATTTTCTTTCATTTTATTTGTTAAACTATCTTTACGAAGGTTAACTTAGTAATATGTAATAAACAAATACAGATTGCCTGACACGTATAATATTAAGTCTGTTTAACCCAAAATTGGTTAGAAGGAATTCCTATTTGAATTTAAAATTGATACAAATGCCCTACTTTACCTTGTTCATTGCAATTAGGTGAAATATTTAACCGGATATATAGATATTTAATGGATTATGCTTAGAACTAATCTCAGATTTGTGATTAAATATCAACTAGTACTTAATATGTAAATATTATTTAAATACTTTTTTCCACAAGTGAATATGTTTATTCATCGGTATAAAAAGTAGCACGTTCTTCTCCATTCTATATAGTATGTGTATATCAAATTGTAAGTGATTGCAGTGTAATAAACAAAAAAACTTAATTTCACATTTATAATATTAGTAAGGATTTAATTTTTTTTTTATAATATTAAGATATATCTTACATACTATTTAATTTTTAGTATAAATATTTTCTATACCATTTGGGATTCATAATAGAAATAATATTCCTGCCTGACAGATCAATTTAGAACATATAATTAAAATATAGCTCGCAAAGACAGTTTTTGAGATATAGATCAAAGTTTAGACTATATCAGAGCGCTGTCATGTCATGTCAGTTTAATTTATTGTAGCATAAACGTAGTTTAGACAGCTGGTATCAGTTACAGGTAAATTAAATTCGTGGTTCAAAATTAAGCATAAAAATAGAATAGCCAATTATTAAGATAAAATTCTAGAACAAAAAAAATCACTCTTGAGTTTTATATATGAATGTATTTTTTAAGCAATTGTTTAAAATATAAATTGTATAGACTTTTTCAAATTTTGGATTATATTGTCATCGACGATCAAGGTCGATCTAAAAGATCACAGCCACCTTTCATTATCGCACCGCTCGCTATCGTCAGAAATTTCTATGGGACGTATTGTGATGCCATTATGCATACGAGTATGTCGATTAAGTGAAGGGTATGAATGAATATAGTTATGGTTATGTGATATGCAGGGATAAGGGAAATATTTTAAGGAGATATAAAATACGCGGATCGATAAGGGAAGATCTAAACGAAACTAAACGGATAAACTACGTGAAAGATGACATGGCCAAAAAGGGAGTAAATACCGAAATGCAGCAAACAGAAATAAAAAAATATAAATTACGCCAGCTCCAAGATAATGGTAGTAGTTATTACTATTTACAATATATTAATTACTGTACTTTTATAAATACAAGTTTCAGTAATGTTTGTCAGGAAATCAGAACGTTGGTTTACATGAGAAAGGATAAGATCGGTCATTGTTAAACTGTAGTTAGGCTCGGTCGATTCACATAAAAGCGGTGCGACATCGCATGGCAAAATCGGTAGCATTGTTATAGTAATTGTCTATGCCTTCTTTAGTACTTTGGCGACAGTACTAATTTTATATAATGCCCATTGTGTATACATACATAAAATCAATGCCAATGCAACGTCAATAATGAGCAGTTAGTAGTCTTACCGTTTGATTATTCAATGTAATGTGTATATAATGTATTATATATTTTATGGATAAAATAAGCTTATCGCAAAAAAAATCAATAGTGTTTGTTTAGATTGCAACAAAAAATATATCAATTTTTTTTATAACGGCAATAATTTATTTATTATTTTTATTTATTTGTACTTGTAATTTGTAATTGTAATTTGTAATTAATTTTTGTGTACAATAAGTACACAAAAATTAATTTGTTATAATTTATTCTAAATAAAGATTTACAAAGACAAGCTAACTCTGTAAGAATTCTCTTCTAGCAAACCTTGAAAGGAGCACTAATTACCAGCGGGCAGTGTGCGTACAATAAGTGGAAACAATATGTTTGTTTCTACTAAGAAACAATAATATAACAGTATATGAAAAACCAGTTTTTTTTTGTATACAGCGACTTGTCATTTCAAGACTAAACGTATTCTGTCGTCATCGGGAGCGCGCGACGTTTACACTTCCTCGCCGCACGTCACACGGAATGACAAACAGGCATTGTCTATTGTCATGTTGTATGCATCTTTAGCCCTTATAGAGCACCACGTTGGGCACATAAGCTTTTAAGGGACTCGTGCAAGGCCTTAGTTCTATCGGTGAATAGAATAGGGATTCCTTCGTTTCGTTTATGGGTGAACGCATGTTGGTATACTGATGACTCATCGTGGTTCAAGTGATTTATACGGTTAACTTATTGTGTATTTTAATCTGTATTCTTTTAAATTATATGTATTATTTCATGTTTATCTGATATTTAGACGTATCGAAGATACTGTGAAAATTAAAAATTTGTTTATAAATAGATATGTAACGTCTGAACTTTAGGAGTAAAAGAAATGTAGTTTATGGTACTTCGAATGAGTTTTATTTAGGATAACGCCTCTTATTCTACACACTAGAAACGTTACCAACACCTTATCATGAATGCCTAATGCTTGAGCAGGGAAGGAATTCGTTTATCACTACGTTATATACTCATATGTGGTTTCTCCTGGAAACCACCGTTGTTAATTACTCGTGTGTTTATCGCGAGGAATTAAGCTAAGTAGACGGTCTAGTAATGGACTAAAAAAGTGCTTAAGCAAGCATAGTACTATATTGCCATCCACGTATATGGATGGATACATAAAATTAATTATATCAAAAACAATATTACACTGTACTAATAAATAGGTACAAATATATAAGCTGAACTCACTTGTTTTTTGATGCGTCTAAATGTGGAATTCGGTTTTATGGCTGCTTCATCGTTTGAAGATCTGCAACAAAAATATGATTTTATTATAAAACACGCATTCGTCCTCTGAGTAAATATAATATATACTCAAAGTTTTCATGTCGCTTTGATCGTCATGATATACATCTTTATGTTACTTAGAAATGTATGTTTACAAATTCCAGTTTTTAATGTTAACATAAAAATATAAAAGATTTCAAGGAATGTTTATTAAAAGTACTTTACCCAATAAAATAATTTTATTTAACACTAGTTGTTTCCCGCGGTTTTGCCCGTGTGTATCTGTATATAAATTATTCTGTGTTAAATTAGGGTATATTCTTCCAGTGTAAACATGACTGAGTAATAAACATCCTTACAAACTTGATCATCATCATCATCATCATGTTCCTACCGTGAACTTTCTATACCTTTATCTATTTTATTATATTTCCATATTTATAATACTAAGAAAATTAGTAGAAAATTAATAATTACTTAAGTACTTGAGGATTTCGTTTTAAGAAATTAAAATAAACACTGCAGGATGAAAGATAATCTTCCAGCGACACTGTTAATCTGGACATAACAAATGATGGTAAAAGTTAGCCAGTCTCATTTTGAATTGAATGAAAGCATAAAGTTACATAATATAGTTTCGAGTTTTAATTCTATTTTAATTTAGTTATTTTTTATTCGTGTCAAATGAATATAATGTATGTTTTCAGCATTAAAATAATATCCTTATCAATATTATAAATGTAAAAGTAAGTTTGTTTGTGACTTTTTAGTGATTTAATGGTAAGCCATTTAATACTTCAGTAATGAACATAATTTAATTTATTTGTTTCTTATCTCTCAATCTCTTCCCGACAACCTTTGGGTAGAGAAACCATTAGGGGAAAAAAAAAGGGAGTTGGCGCACTATTATATAGATACTAATGTATACGTGACGATATTTTTATTGTTTTCCAGTCACACTACCTTTATAATATAACAGGAAATTTTTTAGCTTGAAAATAAATTTACGTTACATTCCTATTAATTGTCGAAGGAGGTAAATGCGAATATAAATAATTCCATTGCAATAATCTCGCGCAAACTTGGAAACGGGGTCAAATCGAGTAGGAAATATTATAGCACAAGCAATAGAAATAACAAATATTGAATTTCAAACGTTCGCGCTTCAGATGTCAAATACTCGCTGAGATTGTAATTTCCTGAGTTTACTACGAGTGAGCATTATATACACGTATATTTCATTTGGTACAAGCTGTTTCCCGTAACTTTATCCAATCGAAATCCTGATGTATATTTTAGAAATTCTTTCTTAGTGCTCAGTTAAGCTTGTGGTAGAATGTAAACGTGATCCACGTACGATCTTATGGCTCTGAAAAATGATGCTTCGAAGTGTACCACGTGGTTTTTAGTAGGTAGCTCTACATATCTCGGTTTTCGCAAGATTTTCTGCGTTCTAAGTACAAAAAGAGTATATAGGGATCTAGTCATGAACTAGTCCTGATCCACTTACTAACGCTTTACAAGTTTGACTGTACATTTATCACTTTAGTTTATCCTTTACTACTGATCCATACTGCTTCGCTCTGGTAGATAAGTAAAAAAAATTTAGTATAATAGTTCGTTTATCATTAAAATATTTTCTATTTTCATGCCAAGTCTTTTGCGGGGTAGGCGGAAAGACTCCAGAGGGACAAAAGTTTCTATATATATCTTTTCTCCTGTATTTTCATAATTACTAGATATATGTAATAATCGATTTTAATGTTTTTATTCGGAGATTATCACGTATTCTTTGGTATCCTTACGAGACTCATATTTCTATAATTTATAAAAAAAAAAAACCTGACAAACTAACTTCCCATAATACGATTATGTAACTATATAATACGACTTGTAATATCAATCCAATATAATTGACATGCAAATGACGTACAAATAATTTGAATGGTCAGTAAATACTAATTAGTATAGTGCACTCTGTAATAGCGTGCGTGAACAAAAAATCAATATGCATTACTTATATTAAACGCAAAAATATGAATGAAGTCATCAGTTCCCTACCGGTATAGTCAGTCCTACCGGAAAGTAGCGAGGACCATATGGAATCATTATCAAACCGTATTTTCGATAGTCGTCCAAAAGGTTTTCGAACTTTGCATCATGACACGAATTTAAATATTAACGTAGTGCGGAAGTTTAAATATGATGTACGATAATATCACGCAAAGTAGGCGTAGGTAATATGGACGGATAGATAGATACTCTTTATTGTTTTCTCCAAAAGTTTATAATAGTAAACTTACTATAGATACAAACAATGGATACCAATCCGATGTCTATATGAAAAAAGGTCATCGTTTATTTCGATATCGTCAGATGAGATATCTGTTTTCGAATATATTAAAAGTCTGTTATCTAATAATATTTTTTTAGATAACAGATTTTAAACATATTAGTTATTGAACCAGTATATAGATAGTTATTAAAATATATAGACTTTGCTATACATTACCTACGCCTAATGCAAATTATTGTTAAAAGTTTCGTATGTACAAATTAATTTTATTACAAAATTTAACGAAATTAAACTAATCTAGAGAAGTTTAGGTAAACATGAGTCCACTTAATGGAAACAAATGAGTGAATTAGAAATCCAGAAAAATCAGGGATAAGCCGAGAACCGTGAAATTTACAGGTCGCGTGAGTTGAATCACAATTTATAGGTTAAGTTGTGGCTATTCTTTAGGGGGTTTGGGGTATCGCATTGGCTTTTACTATTGATTTTGTAAAAAAAAAAACTTTGGGGGAAGTATTGGCCGCGAGCTGCAACAAATAATACATGAACATGATCTTGATTTACAATGTTAAATTATTGTTTCTAAATTGTTACATTACAAATCGACGGCTAATCGCCAGCAACTAGAAGTTATTGCAAAAAAAAAATTAAAATAGTTTTTTTTTATTTGAAATACAATGAATTCAAAACGTATATTATTATACGTATTTTTTATCTTTAAATATATATATATATATATATATATATATATATATGTTTTATTTTATTTTATTTAGATATTTATATTTTATGGTTATGTAATTAGTTCATATTAGTCCTTACAATAAAGAATATTTAACGTATATTATTTGTTTTTAATATAAAATCTCAATATAATGGTATAAAAATTAAATATCTCTTTCGAAATGCTGTTAGTAAAAAATCACCGTTAGGTATAAGTTAATTAAAAATTTCTAATAACCTGAATGTCAAACATTATCCAGATATATACACAAATGCTATATAACTTAAACTCATTGCAGGTTCGTTCTCATTCGTGTATCCAACCCTCAATCTCTGTCTTGCAAGTTGGGGTAGCGAACCGCTAGGCTACACGCTCTCCTGCCCGCTAAACAACTTTAAATTGAATTAATTAATTCTTGCGTGTTGTACATATTTTTAATCGTGTTACTATGTTACCTTATCATAGATTCATGTTGCCGCATCTATGCACTTATTATTAAATACATGTATTTTTTACACTGTAATACGATTCAAAGATATTTATGGCGTTAATAATAAAAACCAACATCTTGTATTCGTACATACATTTATGAGTAATTATTTTGTTGTATAAGTAATTATTTTAGACTTACATGAAACTTGTTTCAATATACTTATCTATCAAGAATATTATAAGAATTCATATAGTAATACACTAGACATTTGCTTATAACGACTAGATCCAGTGCCTTAAGTGTCCAGTGTCTAGTGTCCGAATATCGAGTGTCTGAGTGTCCGAGTGTCCCAGTACACGAGTGTTCAGTGTCCGAGTGTCTAGTGTCCTTATTTTTGAGTGACAAGTATCAGAGTGCTAGTGTTGTGTATTCTTGTACATATATACTACACTTGTACAACTGCCGCCACGATTTTACGGGGAACCTAGATATCCTACGATATTACCGTGAAACATGAACAGCCATAATTATATGACGATTTAAAAGTGCTTGTATACAAATCTCTTTGAATAAAAATGATGAGAATTTAAATATACTTTAAAGAGGTAGACAGCGTAGAATTGCTGCGACGATGTTACAGGGAAGCTTAGATTTGTTACCGAAACGCTACGGTAGTGCTGTGGTCATGCAGGACCATAAAATTATCGTAGAGAAAGCATAAAAGCGTCTCTTAAGATAAATTGGTCTTAATTTAGATTGCAAGATTTTCTCTAAAAAAAAAAACAAACTAAATAATATATATGTAAATTAAGTAATATTAATTAATTAAATATTAATAAAAAATAGCGTCGACACTGCGATATCGTGGACGTTCATTAAAAAGCGTTTATTTACACGATATATCGTGGAACTGCACGATAATAACGTGGAAGTTCACGATAAATATGCATGGTAAAGAATAAAAGCGCCCAATTTAAGAGATATTTTTAACTTGACGTTAGAATTACAAATTTGTATTTATCCCTAATTATTATATCTCTTCCTTTCATATGCACTCATTAAGCTTTCATTAGGGAAGTGGTCATTAAAAAGTGTGGAGCAATGAGCAATTTCCGCTGGATCTGGATACTAGGAGTTCATGTTCGAGAGTTTAATGTAGTGAATACATCGCCGAGACTACACGCAACTCAGCTTTGCTGCAGATTTATAAGTGTTGCTGTTTCTTTTAAATCGAAATTTGTTTTCATTAATGTTTTCATAATGTCTAGATAAATTATACACAAAGTAAGGCTTTACTTAAGTTTGCCTTTTTAATAATAAAGTGTCCTTCATAATTTATAACGGCTTCTCAAATGTTTAATGAATCGTTATGAAAATTGTTATACGCGTTACCTTTTCGATGAAGAAGAACATTCAATCAACATATTCCTGGAATCTCGATGAGATTAGTAACAGATTATTATGGGAATTTACTCAACATAAATTTTTGTCTTAAAAAAAATTCAAAAAAGCAAGAATACGTAGCAGTATAAATAAGTTTTAGAAAAAGGAGTTTATATTGAAATTAAG